GCGGAGAACGTTCAATCGATGGTCGACATGTCTTTGCAAAGCACTGGCACGGCTACGCGATGTCGCGCTCGAATGGTTCGAGGTCGTGCACTTGTCAGGCACAAGAACTCGTGGGACGTCTCACACGTCTCACCGCATCATTTACAAACTCACGAGGCTGTGGTGTTGCAAGGTTACTGCAATACAAGACAAAAAACACTTGCCCGAAGATGACTCGACTGCTGTTGCTGTCGTGCTTCATTACTTCTGGATGCACTCGAGAAAGCCAGACGAGAGGTGGCCAGGTCTTTCCTCAAGTACGCGACAACAGTCCAGCATAGCGCAGATGCTCGACGCAACAGCAACGCTCTGATACGACGTATTCCTTGCCACACATGAGAGAAAGCGGCAAGCACAGCGTTCGCTCGTTCGACGCAAACAGACCTCAGACTGCACTAGAGTTCTCGAGAACAAGCAAATGCTAACTAAAATATCCGAAAACTATCGCAGGTCCTTCCTTGCCCCCTTACCCCACTACCCGTAACACAGTGCTCCTCGTGGGGCCAGTTGTGACCAACAACAGTGCCGCTAGTCACGCACCGAAAGGTCAATCGTCGTCGTCGTCGTGCCGCAGATAGTGAGGAGCCAAGAGATGGCTTTGCTTGTCCACGTACGTACGCACGCGCGTCTATCTTGTTTTGTCTTGCCAAAGTTTCGGGTGCTTTGCTGAACGACAACTCGCTGTCCAGTACTGCAGTCGTTTTCTCGATCGCATCTTCACGCTCTGTTGCACGCATTGGCCAGTAGCACGACCAGCTGGAAACGAGTAGGGCAACGACGTCAACCGCAAACGTTCGTCCACGTCGACGTTCCGGTGCAAAGGTCCTGCGACGTGCACAGCAAGTTGATGACAACGAGCTTGTCGGTCTCAAAGTAGCCAACGCACTCGCCGAAAGTAGATGTGGAGCTTTGCGCAGCTTAGACTCTGAAGGATAGTTGCATGCACAGACTTGTGCGATGGGATCGTGCTACAGCGACCATGGCCGCTTGAGCGCACCGCTATCCTTGCGTCCTTCTGTCAAGTCCTGAGCAGTTAACCTCCGCGCCACGTGACTTGTCCGCGCATCCCGGGGGACGACATGGACATTCGAAAGACATGCGCAAATGACATCGCAGGTGCCTGCCGACGGAAGGCAGATGGTGGGTGGTGTACGGAAGTTTTCTGTTCAATAGACACTTTCCATCGCCACGTCGGAACCGCTGGTAACTTCAAGAGCCTCGTCAGATGCCTCGTCGTTCGTCGCTGTCGCTGCGAAGCGTCCCCAGCAATGGCGCACGGATGAGTGGATAGTTCCTCTGCTTGGAACGCCAATTGTATGACTTTACCATCCGAAAGAACAAGAGGCTGGACAGCCAACGAACGAATAGGCCAAACCCGACTACGCTAGTCATCGACGCTGCGAATATGTATACCAAGCGACATATTCTCACGCCCGCTGGTTCCAGCAGCCCGCGACACTGCATGGCAAGTTCCATCTACGCTTCCGCCGTTTCTGCGAGATGTAAAAGAGTGGAGCGGTGGTCTTGTCTAGCGTCGCAAAGAAGCAGCAACGGTAGCATCGGGATCCGCTCCGAACCCACCGTCTGTTTCTCGGCAACTCGAGTTCGTGAACGCTTTTACTCGATGGGCGCTCGACAATCCTTGGACTCGTTGTCAAGGCCCTTCGCCTGGACGATGAGTGGATGCCTGATATCGTCGACACTGAACGCACGCACGACCTGCTGCTGTTGAACGGCAGTGGTGAGAAGGTGTCGACTTGTGCAAGAATACCGTACGTGCCATTGAGACGCGCCTCCTTTTCTAGCTCCTATAGGCAGGAGAGTCGACACTCGGATCTCGGCTCGAAACGCGGCGACTCCTAAGCCTTGCAGCTCGTGCATGTTGATCCCGCCGTACGAGTCAAGTTGACGGCGAACTTGGTGTTCTTCTAGATTCGGAAGGCCATCAAGCTGGAGTGGTATTCCTGTCGTTCATGTTGACCAGTTGGTCATCATCGAGCCACCACCCGGTACTGCGGACGGACGGACGGGCCATGACGACTGACGCAGCGTAGATAGCCCTGTCGCAAAGACAAGAGTGGATATCATGGACCGAACGACCCCATCACGGCACAACGAAACGACTTTGTGCTGCTGGAGCCCTCGAGAGCGTGGCCAGCAGCCGTGTGGCGCGGTCGATCGACCTGAAGCTGTCAGTGCTGCAATCGAATCCTCGACCTCGAGGGGACGAGAAGAGACGTTGCAATGGACTGAACCTCGCTTCTGTCCGTGTCGACAGGACGATATCAAGTCGATGTTGCCGCGTTGTAAGGTCTGGCTGGCCGCAGCTCAGAGGATACACGTCGAGCCTCGACACGCTACCCGCACGCGACCGAAAGCTCTGATCCGCACGATTTGTGGGTCTGGGACCACCTGTCTTGCTGCTTTTTTGGTCACCGCGCAGCCCTTGTCGGACAAGCCAACGCCTCTTCGTTGGCCTCTTGTGGATGGGGAGGAGGAGACGACGTGGTTTTGCTCCGGCAGCAAACACACGTCTTCGGTTCGAGCTCTCATTCCCACTTTCTGCAGTTCGGACCGAAGTCGAGCGTCGCAGTCGTCGCAGTGTACAGTTGCTGCCCCCATTGACATGGAGCTCTTTGCCGGCTTCAACGCCGAGGAACTGGCAATGATGCAAGAGTTGCTGCGACTATTGGTCGAGGACGACGACGCACAGCCGATACCGGGCAGCACGCCCGCCGCCGCCCGCCACGACGGTCAGAGTCTGTTTGAAGGCCTCCCCGGGGCCTCTCCGAAACTACCAGGCGCGACCTCCTTTGACGGCTACTACTTGTGGAACATGGGCGGCCCCAGTGCCACGGCGTGGAACGCACCGCCACCGCCTGCCGGGATGGCCCCCGCGCCTCCGCTCCCTCCCAAAGCCAATCGAACGCGGACACGGAGCACGTTTGCCAGCGACGACGAGCCGATGCTGAAACGCGGCCGCGCGGACGTCGCGCCGCCAATGAACCGCATTGCGGTCCCGGATGGCGCGTACTGCTACTATTAGTCGAGCCGGCCGACCAGGCGCCCGAGCTGGTTGTGCCTGTCCTGCGCGGAACGAACGCGCACGACGGAGCTCTCGTGCCGAGCGAGCACGTAGATATTTAATCGCACTGAATAATGCAATCGCGGCCACCAACGCAGTTCCTCTTTCCACTCTGTGCTCTTTGTCTCGTTGCTCATTGATCGACGACGTCCTGCGCTGGCAGTGTCTGTGGCTCGAGGCAGCAGAGCTGCAATCGACGATGCAAAGACTCGTGTTCAGGGACGGAGTCGTGTTCAGGGACGGAGTCGTGCAGTTGAAAGGACGTCGCGTGGCGGTCGTAGCGCACTCGCTGTCCTCTGCACTGCTCTTTCCTCATCCTGTGACACGCTACCAGGCGAGACAGCGCTTCGTACGAGAGGAACAGAGACAGTAACGCTAGACGACGATGCACTTGAGGCAGAGTCGTTCCGTCGTCTCGACACGTCTGCCCTTCGCCGGCGCACAGCCGTCGTAGCCGACCCACTTGATCGCATCTTGAGACGAAGGAAAAGAAGAAGAGGCGCCGACTGTCTCTTCATCGGCTGCCAACGCGTGCAGACGATGTCGCTGGAACACCACCCAACTCCCCTCGAGAATGTCGAGTGGCGAACAACCCACTGGCGGAACGCGTGACTCACCTCACCCACTGCATGGAGCGACGCTGTGGATGTGCAGACAACTCGGTCAGTTCTTCGCCGTCTGACCTCTGCTCGTATCCTCCGCGACGCTTCCAGCCAACGCATCGCCCCAATGGATTACGCGAACAGTAAACTCGAAATGGAGTCCCCACCTGCTCTGGCGATTGCGACGAAAGACGTCGGTCACAGACGGCGAACCAACAAGACGAAGAGCTAACAAGAAGACGGACTCGAGTGGCACAGTGAGAATCACAGTTGGAGTGTGTCTGACGAACAACGGGAACCATTTGCAAGGCGCTGTTTGCATGAACGTGTTGCAGTTGACGTTCGGGTCACAATCGTTCCCATCTCTTCAAACAGCAGCGATTGTCCGACGAACTGCTACGCGCCAGCAGCTGACCGTCGAAGTATACGGTCAGCTGCTGGTCCACGCGCCGCGCGAGATCGACAACCCCCTGCAAGAACAGCGGGTCGCTGCTCTGCTCGAAGCCAAAGGCGGACACCGCAACGTCGTGCAGTCGCCCATCGAGACCTGTCGCTCGAGAACGTCCTGCTATGTCGTGGCGTGTGCAAGATCACGGACTTTGGCCTGTCGACGGACGCCCGGCGGCTGTGCGACGGGGGCCAAGTGGGCAAGGAGTTCTACATGGCGCCTGAAGTCGTTGCAGGGAGTTAACTGATCGACTGATTGACTCTGTGCGATGCGATACGACAAAGTGCATTGGTCTGATCATCTCTGCTTGATCCGCCATGCAAATCGCCGGGTGATGTAGGTAGGTATGTCTGTCTGTAGGTAGGTCCGTATGTCTGTCTGTAGGTAGGTCTATCTGTCTGTAGGTAGGTCTGTAGGTCTGTCTGTAGGTAGGGTTGCGCCCACCCCGTTTCTATCGGCATTTCAGCGCTCGTCCTGCATCAAAGGACGTGGATTTGATGCAGCTACTTGAAGTTGGTCCACCCGTGCAGGACTCGCAAGCCCCAATCGCGTGTTTTTTCCTCTGCTTTTTACGCGACGTCCGCCGAACCTACAACAAAGCACTTTGTTTCCGTGCCACTGCCCTCATTGCTCATCATTCCTGAATTTGCATCGAACGACCCACAAGCCGTCCGACAAAATGCTCCGCCGCTGTCGAATGATTCGGACCCCGCGCCGCATGGCCTCAACAACCGCTGCACCCGCAGCAGCCGCAGCAGCAGCTTCACAAGCGACGCGCAGCACTACTTGTCGCTCGATGAGCTCCTCGAGCGAATCGCTCGCGCCCATGCCGCTCACGGTCTTGACGGCCGACGAGCAGATGTTCAAAGACTCTGTCGCGCGCTTTGCAGCCGACGTGATCGAGCCGAACGCGCGCCACATGGACGAGACAGGCGCAATGACGCCGGCGGTGATCCGCGGCCTGTTTGACAATGGGGTGCGTGGATTGGCTCAGCTGCTTGAAGTATGGAGCGCCTCGGATTAAGTTGTGTTTGTTTCTGCCAATCACAGCTGCTGGCTGTGCAGATCCCGGCGGCCTATGGCGGCGTCGAGGCGTCGTTCATGAGCCTCATCTTGACGATCGAAGAGCTCTCGCGCGCCGACGCGAGCGTGGGACTGCTCTGTGACCTCCAGAACACAGTCGTGAGCAACGTGTTCTGGCGCTACGGCTCGGACGCCCAGCGCGAAGCGTACCTGCCTCGTCTGTCGCGGGACACGGTCGGCAGCTTTTGCCTGACCGAGCCGGACGCCGGGAGCGACGCGTTTGCGCTCAAGACCAAAGCGGACGCGGCTGCGGATGGCAGCTATTATACGCTCAACGGCGAGAAGATGTGGATCTCCAACGTCGCGCACGCCGACGTCTTCCTTGTCATGGCCACAGTGGACTCGTCGTTGGGCTACAAGGGCATCACGTGCTTTGTCGTGGAGCGAGGCATGCCGGGCCTATCGTTTGGGCCGCCAGAGAAGAAGCTCGGACTGAACGCGTCGTCGACGTGCTCCGTGATCCTCGAAGACGTTAAGGTTCCGCGTGAGAACGTGCTGGGCAACGTGGGCCAGGGCTACGCTATTGCCATTGGTCAGCTGAACGAAGGCCGCATCGGCATTGCCGCTCAGCAGCTGGGCATTGCCGAAGGCGCGTACCGCCACGCGATGCCGTATCTGTTTGAGCGGAAACAGTTTGGACGCGCGATTGGGGACTTCCAGGCCATGCAGCACCAGTACGCGGAACTGGCGCTGGAACTTACAAGCGCTCGCCTCCTCGTGTACAATGCTGCTCGGCTCAAGGACGCAGGGCTCGAGTTTGTCCAGGCTTCCTGCATGGCCAAGCTGCACGCGTCGCGCGTGGCGGAGCGGGTATCCTCGCGATGTATCGAGATGCTGGGCGGCGTCGGGTTCTCGAAACAGTTCCTGGCCGAAAAGTTCTACCGGGACTGCAAGGTTGGCACCATTTACGGCGGGACGAGCAACGTCCAGCTCAGTACGATTGCCCGGTTGATCAAACGAGAGCTCGTCTAGACTCGAGGCAGGGACTTGCACACGAGTCGAAGGAGGTTTACAATATCCATAGGTGACGCCACACGTGCTTGTCAGTTGATCTCGGGATACGCCACCACGCACGTCGTGAGGAGGCCACGATCGTTGAACTTGAGCGATGTCGGGCAGCTGTACGGTATTGACCATCTGTATCAGAAATCAGCGTCAGTAGATCTTCTGAACCGACGAGAGCAAGAATTGAGGCAGTCTCCTGCTGCGAACACTGCGATCGAGCGACCGACTGGGGACAGAGAGGCCTTAGCGTCTTGATGAGAGTAAGTCCGTCTGATGTGCTCAATCGATCGATAGCACGTGCACGAGCTTTTGAGGAAGGAAGTAGCCCCTCGACTCTTTTCGTGACAGGGTCATACGTCATTTCATGCGAGTCATAATTATTTGTATACGCTTAACACGCGCCACGTCACGTTCTTCTCTAAGTGCACCCAACTACGACAGCTTCACGTCAGCGACGTGGTTGAACATCGGATACGCTAACACCTGGTCAAGTGACATGCGCTGTTGCGGGTCAACCTCCAGCATCTTTTCCAGTACCGCGATCGTGTCTCTCGAAATGCGGTCGGCATAGCCCCAGGACCTGATCACTGCACCGACGCCGCACTGTGCCAATGCCTTGAACCCTTTTACCGAAGGCGAGGCAAGCGACAGCAGGGGCGACCCCGTCAGCAGAACAAACCACACGATTCCGAGCGACCACACGTCAGCCAGCGTTGGGTCGTATCGGTCCCCTGCAACGACTTCAGGCGCCATGTAGAACTCCTTGCCCACTTGGCCCCCGTCGCACAGCCGCCGGGCGTCCGTCGACAGGCCAAAGTCCGTGATCTTGCACACGCCACGACTGAGCAAGACGTTCTCGAGCGACAGGTCTCGATGGGCGACGCCAAGTGTCGCGTGCAAGTAGTGCACGCCGGCCAGCACCTGCTGCATCAGAGGCAGCACTTCGTGTTCGTCGAGAAACGTCGCGGCGTCGAGTCGCTCGGCCACGAACGCGTGCAAGTCGCCGCCCGTGCAGAGCTCGTTCACGAGGTAGAGGCTCCGGTCCTGGACAAAGTGAAAGTACGACTGCACGACGTTGCGGTGTCCGCCTTTGGCTTCGAGCAGAGCAGCGACCCGCTGTTCTTGCAGGGGGTTGTCGATCTCGCGCGTCGCGTGGACGTGACTTCGGCGGTCAGCGGCTCGAGCGAGCGAGATGCACTTGACGGCCACGAGCTGGTCGTGGCCCGGGAGTTCGCACTCGAGGACTTCGCCATAGAGCGCGACACTGAGCTGTCGGCGGACTCGAAAGAGCTGAGGAGTGGCCATGACGGAGGGATCAGTCGATCGGTCGATCAGTCGATGGATCAGTCGATGGATCGGTCGGTCGATGGGTCGATGGGTCGATGGATCAATTAATCGATTGATTGATCCGCAGCCGCTCGAGATGGTGGCGGAGTGGTGAAAGCGGTAGTGGGGTCGGATGACGGCGTGTTTCCGGGTCGGCTGCTCCCGTCGGCAGGAGGTCGGAAGTGGCGCGACCGGAGCTGGACGAGGCGACCACGTGCTGACTGCTGGCCAGTGATCCTGCTTTTTTCACGGCCGACTCCGTGTATCGTCTCGAACCCTCTGAATTCGAATAAACCGGCTTTTCCCGACCGGGTCGCGTCCCTGGGTCGCGTGTCGAACGACCTGTGCAATCGAATCGAATCGCATATCTGATGGCCTTGAAAAGCGTTAGACATCTTCAAGAAAAAGCAGGCGTTTCAGCAACGTCCGACATCAGCGTCTGTTCCGAGACCGCCGCGGCACTTCGGCAGCGTTCTTCTTGAAAGACGAAAGCGACGATCGTTCCATCGAATCCATGTGCGGCCCGTGTGGGGCCCGACGGCCGTCGCAGACGACGACGTCGACGCGGCCCATCGTGTTTCGTGTGGACTTTGTGTGGTGCACACCAATGTCCGCATCCAGTCCGACCCACGGGATCTCATTGTCCGCGCGCGCTGAATGGCTCTGATCCGACGACTCGCGCGGTGCGTTCCGACGGCCCCGTGGCCGCTGCCGGCCGCCGCTTCGCTCGGTCTGCTGTGCGCTCCAACGCGACAGCCGCTGGGGGTCCGCGCGCTGCACGCGTCTGCCCCACGTGGCAACGCGGGCCTCATTGGCGGTCTGGGCGTCGCAGGTGCCGCGTTAAGTGCGAGGTACGCGCTCCAGCTCTACGACGCGTACAAGAGCCGGCCCAAGAGCGACAAGGGGCGGTCGTGGAAGTACCGGAACTTTTACGACGGGCCGTTTGAAGAGAAGATGACGCGGCGCGAGGCGGCGCTCATTTTGGGCGTGCGGGAGAGCGCGTCGACGGAGCGGATCCGCAACGCGCATCGGAAGCTGTTGATTCTGAACCATCCGGATACGGGCGGCTCGACGTTCCTCGCGACAAAGATTAATCAGGCCAAGGAGATGCTGCTCGGTGGGAGCAAGTAAAGGCGGGCGCCTGCCGAGATGAGGAGAGAGACAGAGAGAGAGCGAGAGCGAGAGGAGGAGGAGGATTTAGTGGAGGAGGTTCTAGTGGAGGACTTTAGTACCGGGTGATGGGAACGGTGACGCTGTGGTGGGTGTGGTTCTACCAGGAGGAGGACGGACCGACATGTTGTTGCCTCAAGGCTCTGGCTGGTCGTCCAGGCACACGGACTGGTTGTATGCGCACAGATGGTCCCTAGACGCACTCGTTGTGGATAGAGAGATACAGAGCACTGTCTGATTGATTGTCTGTCGAATTGGATGGCTTTGTGATATTCTTTATCGATCACGTGTTCGCACGCAGCTTTTGGGGACTCGATCGACGAAGAGGTCAATGCGGTCAGACGCTCCTTCTTCAGACACTGTGGCACGCAAGAGGCTGCGCGAGGCGCCTCCTCGTGTCGTCTCTACTTGCGCCAATGCCACGTCCCGACGGGTGCCCGCGAAAAAGAACAACGCGTCGTTGGTTCTTCTCCCTTCATGTGCCGGTCGTCCGTGTATGACGGTCGCACGGCTGCGCTCTTTCACTGCCTTTCTGACGGGCTCAAAAGCTCTTTGCTGCCTCCATATCGGCTAACGTCAAATGAGTCCTGTTCTTCACTTCCCACCACTGGATAGAAACGGCGTGGACCAGTTCTTCGGCTCGATTGCCCGTTTCTAAGACACACGACCGACTGTCGTGTTACGTGCCAAGACTTTTGTCAGTGTCCGACACAAAACCAGTCCGCCCGGGCCCACACTTCATCACGTGGTCCACGCTTTCCTGCTGCATCGGCTACTTCACAGCGCGCAGCCATCCCGTCGACGGACCCACGATTCGTGCCCCTTTTTTTCCCATACCCCCTCTCGTGGCGCATACTACGCCCTCCCTCGCAGTAGTCTCTATCTTAGGTCGATCGCCTGCACCACGCAAGTCGCTTTGCTCATGGCAGCGAAGGCAGGAACCGCGAGCGTCTTGGGCGGCCTCTCCGGCGGCGAGTTCATCTCCGTGGCCGGTCTCCGCGCCGACGGACGTCGCAGCCACGAAGTACGCCGCATCCGCACGCGTTTCGGCCTCTTCTCGCGCGTCGACGGCTCGTCGTACTATGAACAAGGCAACACAAAGGTCGTCGCAGTGGTCTACGGCCCGCGAGAGCTCCGCGCTGCGTCCATGAGCAGCAGCAGCGGCGGCGGCGGCGCGGCCGTTGTCGGCACCGGCGCAGGAGATGCAGTGGGCAACACGCAGCCACGGGCAGTGGTGAACTGCGAGTTCACGCAAGCGGCTTTTGCCACGTCGGAGCGCAAGGCCCAGCGCAGCAGCGACCGTCGGAAGCTCGAGATGTCGCTGGCCGTCAAGCAGATCTTTGAAGCCTGTATCCAGACGCAGCTGTACGCTCGCTCGCAGATTGACATTTTCGTCCAGGTGCTGCATGCTGACGGCGGTGAGCTGTCGGCCAGTATCAATGCCATTACATTGGCGCTGATCGATGCGGGGATCGCGCTCAATGACTTTGTCGTGGCGTCATCGGCTGGGTATTTGCAGCAGACGATGCTCTGTGGTACGTGACGAAGTAGTCGCTGACTATTTGAATGGGTTGTTAGCGTGTTGAGTAGTTGGTCGGAAGGTTGTGAGCTTGGTCGGTTGGGTGGTCGGTAGTGGGCCCTTGTATTTCTGATGGACGATGCATATGGGGTGCTGCATTGTAGACTTGAGCTACGCAGAGGAAGTGGCGCGTGCGCCGCAGATGGTGGTTGCGCTCAACCCTCGGTCGCAAAAGCTGAACTTGCTGCAGATGGAGTGCAAGCTGCCGCTCGAGCTGTTTGAGAGCCTCATGGAAGTCGCGACCGAGGGCTGTAACCAGATTTACGACTTGTTGCAGAACGCCGTGCGGGAGAACACGAGGAAGCGACTGCGTCTGCGCAATGCAGCAATCGCTGCGTGACAAGTCATAGCAGGAAGCCGATCAGTAAAGATCGGGACGAATGAAAACAGGAGAAGCACAGCGGAAGCGGTCGTGATGCGTCGTCACTTGCATGGATGGCCTGACGCTGTAGCCATTGCGAGCGATACGAAGCGCTGTTTTGGCTTGGGCTGTAGCCATGTGTGGTGGATACAAAGACTCTGTTTTAGTGTGTGTCACCGGTGGTTTCTTTTCAGCCAATCGCAACGCGAGGCTGTGTTCGCGGCAAGTGCATGTTCGAATACGATTTTATCGCGCCAACAACGAGTTGAGACACTTGTCGAAACCCCTCACGGCGCGCAAACAATGGATCGTCACGGCGGCCTTCGTGATCGAAGCATACTGATAGACCCCTCACTTGATGCGCGAGAGAATAGAGATCCCGACGATGTCCGACTTACTGCCAAGTCGCTTCGCATCGCGCCAAAACGAGCAGTCAACCGTCACAGCGCATCAAGCTTTAGTACTGCTGCCCTTTTCACGCCACGTCGCGCTCTCCATAGCATTGATAGCAACTGCATTGCACGAGGAATGGACTCGGAAAGACGTGGACAATCGGAGGATGCTTCTTTTGGTACAAAGGACCCGGTAGAAGCTGCAAACTCGCACGAGAAAGCGTCACGATCGATTCTCGACGCACCTTTCGCCGGGAAAGAGCTCCTGACAGACCGTCACAATGGTGTTGCGTCATGGGCAGATGCTGTGACACTTTTGAAAGGTTCCAACCCCCGCCACTCGGAGCTCCAGGAGAGCGAGAACTTGGCCTGGATGGACATGATGCTCGCCTTGTTGGAGAAGCGCTATGGCTTCAGTTGTACGCTGCCAGTGTCTCTCACGGATCCGGAAGCTGCCAAAGTGCTCAAATTGTCACATTCCAAGCATCTCCAGACAGGATCAGTCAGTGCTCAAGCTTCGCTCAAGCGTTCACGAAGCGTGGATGATGCGTACGTCAAGACAGCTGCTGGTACTGTTCATGGTAATCGAGTATTACAACTCATAAGCTCAAGGCATTTGCAGCAACAGCAAGCCATAACGTACTTGGATCAGGAGTCAGAGCAGACAAGAGAAAGCAAGCGACAACGTCTTGCGCTACGGCACGCGCAGGAGATCCAGACCTCGAGTGTTGCGTCGTCCTATAGTTGTGGATGCAAGACTGGCTGCCTCAAGATATGCTGTACGTGCTTTAGCTCTCGAGGATTCTGTCACGCTGGATGTGCCTGTGACGATTGCAAGAACATCCAGGTGCACAAAGGGGAACGTGTGGACGCCATTCGCAAGTACTTGATCAAGAACCCACACGCGTTTTCCTTGGTGTCGATGCCTCGAGATGGAACCACCACAGGATTCCTTCACCTGTTGCCGCAGGTGCGATGTGAATGCCGTTATTGTTGCTACCGTTCCGTTTGCATTGGTCAAAGAGTGTGCTTGCAACTAACTTCGCTCATCTTCTTTGACTATAGAAGAGTAACGCAGTGGCCTTGCGCAGGTGTCTCTGCAAGAAGTCCAAGTGCAAGAAGCAGCACTGCGAGTGTTTTCAACACGGCAATGTTTGCACATCGCACTGCCGCTGCATGAGCTACTCCAATACCAGCGAAGCCTTGTGTTTGCAAACGGAGAGCAGTGCTCCTACTCACGCCAAGTGTGTTGCCCGATCCGACTCGGTCACTTCTGAATCGAAGGCGTTCCATCCCGTACAAATTACTGTGACGAAGCAGCCGCGCCGGAACAATGTGGGCAAGACTCTGCGCCTGAACCTATAAGCTGCAGTCAGAGTTGAAATCTACTGCGAATGGACACTACAAATAGAAAACAATAGCCACTTGGTCACATTCGTCCAACTTGAGGAGAAGGAGAAGATCATTGCAGAGCAGACGAATATATGTTGTGAGAGCACCTTATTTTGAAATCAAACTCAAACTCGTTTGTACTTGTCGACTGTGGAAACCTAGCGTTACTTCGATGCCATACACCTGAACTTTTGTTCATAGCATATGAGCGAGCAATAGTGTGATGGTATGATTCATGCAGATGAGTTAAAGACCCACGAACGTATGGGAGTAAGCCATTTGAGCAGCAACTGCAGTGCATGTCAACGACGATGGCGGTCTTTGCCGCTGTGCAGTCATTCATCTTACAATATGTTCCGTTGGTGATACTTCCTTGAACATGGTCGGACCAACTGATCTTGTGGCTGTTCAGCAAAAGATGCCAAACGCTGTCTTATAATCATGAATGTGGTTGAAGCCGAGGGGACAACACTAGAAGAAGGTGTTGAAGACGACAAGTTCGGAGTGCGTGCAGACAGGGTAAGGGAGGTCGTCTATGCACAATTCGTGGTTCTCGATCGGAAATCAACGTTCGAGCAAAGACGATACCGGTCGGATAGCGGACAGAACATGGCATATGCTCAACAGTCAAGCCGCCGGAACAGATGAGCAGATAGATTGCGTCTGCTATGTTTGCTGCGCAGGCAACACCGCTGTTGACATTCTGCGACTGATGTCGTTCTTTTTATGGTGATGGAGCAGATCTAACTGAAGGTGTCTGGACGAGCACTTGGACGGTGGTGGCGGAATGTTACGTGAATACGACGAGGTCAATATTCAATCATTACTTTGAGCGTACTCGCGGTACGCGACACGTACCTTCTGCCGTCTGTCCTCGGACGGCAGCGAGATACCTACACGCAGCACCTAACCATGCAGCGCCTTTTTTCGCCCACGAACAAGCCGAACAAACACCACGGCCACCGACCACACACCGAATTGTATCACTCACAAAATGTGCGGGATTTACGAAAAGGAATCAAATTAAATGGATGCGGGGGTGGAAGCAGCAAGGTCGACACCACGATACTGTAGTGTGGGGTCTGCAGGAGACACATATTAACTCTGCGAGTGCAGCTCTGCAGGCTTCTACTACATGGAGATCCATCTGGGGAGCCCACGACTCCATCACTCTCTACCCCCAACCGAGTCATCGTACTGGAGTGTCAGCACGGCGAAATGTGAGGCCATTGCAGGTCAGCCTTATGCTTGACCCGGCCAACCATAAGGCTGATCTGCAATGGCACCCCGGACTTTGGACCAACCGGGTCATTGCAGTCGTCGTGAATGCAGTCTTAGTGGTCAACGTATATGCACCTAATGACTGACGGGAGCGTGATCAATTTTTCAACCATCTTCTTCAGTGGCCATGACTGTACATCGATGTGACTTATTGAGGAATTTCAGTTGTGTTCAAAGTCCCCAACTCGACAGACTGGGTGGCTTACGGCCAGGGCGATCGGAGAGCCCGGCTTCAACAAAGTTTTTAAACTCTTCAGATCTCGAGGACGCCACGAACCTGGCGGGTTCCGCGATGGACGACGAGGTCATCGAGCCAACGGACTTTTTTACGTACTGGAATGCGCGGACGGCTAGCCGACTAGATCGTTTCTACACGCGCAAGAATTGGACTGCAACTATTCAGAGCGTCCAAGTACGCCTGCCGGTGTTCCTCTCTGACCACCAACAAGTCACCTTGCACGTGGATACCACCGGGGTAAGGCGGCGTCAGCGAAGTACATATTTACTGATGCATTATCCTATCCACTCGGCGGCACCAGAGCGAGTCCACGCGGATCTATTGACTGAGCTCATACGAACCGAGGTCGGACGGGACGTAACATCAGGATCTTAAGACACAGCGGTCTCTAACTGCACAGCTGGCATCCGGCGAATTAAGACTCAGGAATCTCAACGGGATCGTCAGCGGCAGCACCGGCACCGGGCTCAGGGGTAGGCTCGGGTCCATCTTCCCACACGTCAGAGCTTAATGCAGCAGAGTATTGAAGCAGAGCTACAGACTGCACAATCTGTCAGACAGGGCGTACGCTTGGAGCGGACACTGGAGCGTCTTCGATGTCAGTTTAAACGGGTATCTAATTGGGAACGGGATCAAACTATTTCTGGTCTTCAACAGATCAACGGACAGCCCTTTCTCCCCGGATCCAGGATCGCCAACCGCTTTGCGTCGGGATGGAGCCCGATCCTTTGTCGAAAACATCACACCGTTTCTGCGCCAACGATGCGTACCGCCTTGCGCGATTTTATTACGCTGCTGGCGGATCGAATGCTCTCCGCGGAGGATTAGGCGTTCTTGATGGGCTTAATCAAGCTGAACGATGTTCTCGTGGCGAATGCGCCGCTTAATCTTCGTAAAGCTGTCCGATCATACGAAATCAGCAACGACTTCCTCACCGACTGTCGATCGCTGCTAGGTCCGGCGTTTGTCAAAATCGGTAACGAATTATTGCAAGGACGAACGCCTCCCGCCTCATTTATGAGAGATTTGATAATACCACTACACACAAGGGGTGATTCAAAAGACGCGATGGGTTACAGACGGATCGCTTGGTTACAAACCGGTTACAAAGTTGTCGCGAAGGTCATCTCACACCGAGTGCAAGCGTGATTGGTGTGCCATTCGGGACACGCAACAAGAATTTGTCCATGACAGACACATGTCTAAGACGGTGATGATGATGATAGCATATTTCAGTTAGGCATCGTCTGAACCGGAGCGAGCGATCAAGGATAGCTGAGTCATCTTGCGTCTGGTTTTCGCAAGTCATATGACACGGTCTCACGAGACTTCTTATTTAAGGTTTTACGTCTCTTTGGCCTCCTGGAAGCCTTTGTTATGGTTATAAGACGTCTACATGACGATCTCACAGCGCGGTTCTTGGTAAACGGACTAATTTCCTACCCTATACCTGTACTTACGGGGATTCGTCAGGGTTTCCCCTTGACGCCGCTGCTATTTTTACTTGTGCCGGAGGTACTAGCCATTGCAATAATACAAAATACACGTATCAAAGAGCTCCGACATCCTGGATTTCCAGCCGAGGAGCAAAATTCTCGGTATTTGTTGACGATTCGACGGGTTTTTTAGCCGGCGGGACAACTGCTGCAGGTGCTGACCATCGTTCAGAGCTTCGGGGAACTCTGGGCTGTTTGTTCGACCGGCCAAGAGTGTGCTGATATTTCTTAATACAGCAGTGGATGTCGCAGGGTATAATGCGATTCCTGGCATCCACCATGGCAATACGACTAGGCATCTTGGGTATCAAGTGGGCACCGGAGACCTCGTTGACGCTAACTGGGCTTTACGGGTCCGGAATGTGAGAAATCGGCTAGCCACAGCGACAATTATTTTAAGCAGCGTAGACGTCCGAATTCTGCTACCCAATGCTGTCATACTTCCCGCCGTACTATTTACTGCGGCGGTATTTAGAATCCCTCAGTATGCCAAGAACGAAGTGCACAATCTCCAAAAGCAATTTGTCTGGCATCATTCCACTTCAACGGCCGACGTCAGGCATAAGGTCAATCCGGGCCTGCCCTATATTCTACGTGGCGCGGGCGGAATCGGCCTTATCTCCGTTTATGTCACCATCTGCACGCAAAATACGAAGCACGCCATGCAATGGTTGATCCACAAGCGCGACCACTATTATTACGCGTGGGCGACACGGAATTCCAAGACACCGAGGACTCTGCCAATTGGAGTCTATCGCCAATCTTAATTAACGCTCGGCGCCGCTGTCTCACCAATAAACCTTAACCAGGCATACACGCAGAATTTAGTGCTTGGATCGTACCGGCGGCATCCGAAAGGCTGACCATCCAGAAGCACCGACATGGCTCCTTCCACCGCCTCGTAGCCAACCTCGTAGCCGCTCGTCAAGGGATTAACTTATTTCTCCAGCATCATGAAGACCTTCCGACGATCACGTCTATGTACACTCACGAGCACAAACGGTTTTGGGCAACTTATCGGCGGGACCAGAATCCGTGTGTCGTCGATACAAATGGGCGATCACTTACAACGAAGATCTATCCGCTAATACGGGCATATCGTCTAGGGGAATTAATCATCACGCGTGTGTCGCGTCTGTATTACATGATACCTCTTCCATGTACGGGACACAGTAAAAGTCACACACTTCTTAAGCTGGGGCGCTGGGCGACAACAATCCTAATGGCTTGCCCAGCACTTCAAGTCGAGGAATCAGTCTGTGTACCACCGTATCTTACGCTGTGGAACGGACCCGAAGCCGTCACAAGATTCACTTGGACACCTACTAGTCGTTTGTTGTCAGAGGCAATTTTCGCGACCCCCGGGAGCAATATCATGCCTACATCACCCTCCATCAGGCTCCTAACGGCATTCATTGGGTCGTCGGCAGATGTACGGCTTACCAGCGGAAGACGTGCAGGGCCTGTACGCCATTCAACAGCGAATACGGAACAGAGCACTCGTGCTTGTAGCGCATCCGCGGATTCATCGGTTTCCGTGGTGGCTTCCTTCGACAGTCAACAACATCCACGAATATGAAGCTTTGAAACGTCCGCCGTTTCGAAGGGCGAAAAGACATTTGGCCCCCTTTCTCAGCTGTGATCGCCAGACTCCAACACAGAGCTAACACGCGCAACGATGGGTACTACCCATTGTTGCAGTCACCGACGCATCTTTGGGAGCATCGCCATGCACTCACGAAGTGTCAAATCTGGGTCAGCTACAGGTGTGCAACTCATAAATTAAATTTGTATTATCCGGGGCGAGAGCTAGATGCCACGTGCGAGCGACATATTGCCTGCCGCGGGCAACATGAAGACCTTACCTATATCATTTGGGACTGCTCGAGAGCGCAATTATGCTGGACCTACATCGTTTCCCAATGGTAGCGATCGCACGTCACCGAAGGTCACCTCCA